ACAGAAAATAGTGTTTATAAAATCTTAGTATTATAAGCACCGATTATATGCTTTTTACTTTTAGAAATAACCTATATCCATAATATGGAAGACTTACTGATAGTTTAAAGAGCAGAATTTATAAATGGTAACAGTTTCAGAAATGAGAGAAATGGGAGTTGAAAGGAAGATATGTAGAGGATAGTGAACTGAATGCTAATTTCTAATTCTTATACGATAGTGCATGACTATAGCTAAGGGATTGCTGTCTAAAGCTGATAGAACAGTAATAGTTTATGGATAAAAAACTAACAGTAAGCAAGAAGAACTACAAATAAAAGTATAACTAATTTCAGGGTGGGGAAGAAGTAAGAGCTAAATTCCTCATCTTTTATAGTGGTAAGTTAATTGCGAACACCGAAAGTTAACACAAAAAGAAATGGAGTATATTATTTGGACAATGGTTGAAACCACGAATAGAACTTAAAATAAAGACTATTAAAAAGAGTTACTTCCAAAGTATAGGACTGAGGTGAAGAGAAAATGGGTAGGGACTTCCACGTTTCATTTACGCCCACTGTTTAACTTTTCTTTGAACTATGTTTGTATGTCTTACTTTTATGATGAAAAAAGAGAGAGATAAAAACAGAAAGTTTGATGTTTAGATAGTGAATATAAATGACATTCAAAGAGCTGGGTTATTAAGGGAGGGAGAGAGAAAGAATGACAGCTAAAGAGGGATGGGAGGCTGAAAGAAGTGACTTTTTTTAAACCATGGGAGAATATGCTGAGAGTGATAGAGACAGAGCTGAAGATATTAGAGAGGGATGACCAAATGAAGGGAGCACAGGGAAGGAGGGTCAGATGCAGACGCCAGGGAAGAGTTAGCCTTACAGAGGACGACACCTTCCCCATCTGAATGGTCGGTAAGGAGGTCTGGAGCTAAACTTGGCCTGCACCTGGAGGGATGGATCCTAGGCAAGTTTGTTGACTGTGGGGAGAGGAATCGAGACAGAAGAATTTCTGCTCCACACCTTCCAATTTCTCCATTTAAAAAAGAGGTGAGGATTGGGGTGTCTGGAGCTCGTGGGGGATGGAACAGGGAGCTGACTAGAGAGCTGCTGAAGGATTACAGGGCAGCAGACGGGTCCCAGCAGAAATCCTCCCCTCTGCTTCCCAGCCTGGACAAGACCGAGGTTCTACTAAAGAGGATACGGGGATAGGAAGAAAAAGAAAAGATGGAAGTGCTGCACCGTGTGGTCCAGACTGATGAGGAAAGAAGCTGAAGAAAGGAGACAGCTAGCACATCAGGAGAAACAGAGTGGGTCCCTTATACCCCATTTCAGGGGTGACTCTGGAACCTGAGCATTTCTTAACGTAATTGCTATACCCCACCGCATCCACATCCTGCGTGACCGCTCAGAAGGCCCTGGCAGAGCAGTGTCCACCTAGGTCGTCATGGATGCTTATGCGAGGCAAGCCTGGGGTATAGCCCTGCTCAAAACCAGAGCCCCCTCCCTCCCCACTACAGCCCACCCTCTGTACATCCTTCCCCAGAAGACTCGGTATATTCCCTTTAAGCACTGTACTTCTGTTCTCAGTGATAATGATGATAAAGACTCACAAAAATATTCTTTACTTTTCAAAGTAGCTTATTTTATTCAAGACAGAAATACTTCTTAAAAAAGAAACTTTCATTACCTCTAGGGTGTGCTGCTCACAAAATCCTTGATAATTACATACTTCTATCAATCTTTACCAACATGCTAATTTTTACAAAATTCCCATAAAACTATGTAAGATATACTCTTGTAAAAACATTAGTAGGCTGCGATTGTTTCAATTGAGATATCTTGACATGCACTTACATACTAAATAATATGCACATACTAAATTTTATCCAAATTAGGCAATTTCTTTTAAAGATTTTATAGAGAAAATTAATTCAATATTGAGAAATCTAGATGAAAAAAAAACAACAATATTTGAGCAGTTTTGGTTGTTCTTTTTTTTAGCTACAATAGTCATTATTTTTATTTTACATTTTTATTATTTTACCTAGGGATGCTATTCCAAATAGAATTTTTTTAATGTATCACAGGGGAGTGATAATCATACAGAACTTAGTAGAGCAAAATTTCTATTAATAGTAAAATGACATCAAATGAGGTAAAGAAAAATTTATATCAATATTTTGGAAAACTACATTTAGGAGACATAACATTCATACCTCACAAGAGCGTTGGAGTTTCATAAGTTGGTTTCGATGATCTTCACCAGAGAAAATGTCAGATGCATTTCCCTATTAAAATTATAAAAATAAATAGTTAATGCTTCATAGCACTAAGAGCCAAATTAAGCACTCGAAAAAAAATAACACCTTATATATCTATTTTAATTGTTTCTTTTTCACCTACATTCCAAAAAGATTTAGGAAGTCTCAGAAAGAGATAAAGTAAAACCAAAATCCACATTCATGTGAGAATGTAAAGGTAAGAGCTGATTAAAAGGGGGCGTGGGTAAGGAAAGAAGTTTTATATAAGAATCCAGGTTTAATAAAAGCTGCTAAGTATCAGTATGAACACAGTTTATAATATATATAAAAAGTATTATAGAAATATAGATTTATGTGTATGGATAGATTATTATACACACATTTCTTTCCTAGCTCTGTCCACTAAGAGGGCCTCAGATCAATGACACAAGAGTAGCAGTGAACACATATAGTATACAGATCTTGGTTTCAAAGTACCACTCTGCACTAAAAGGAACCAGAGCTCTTTGGAAAGAGATGAATTCTAGGGCTGTGACAGGGAAAATATAAATGAGCCTAGAACATCTAATGATGTCAAAAAATAATAAAATGCCCAGAAAAAGTAGAAGCATGTCAAAAGGCAACAGGAACCAACTGGAAACAGCTCCCAATAGCCAATGCTAGAAAACTTCATCAATAAAATAATTATA